TGGTGTCGATAAAAATAGAAGAGAAAATCATGAAATTGCAGAGGGTAACACGCAGAAGAGAAGATCACGAAATGGCAGAAGAAAAAATCACGAAATTGCAAAGGACAATAATTAGAAAAAAATTTCCACCTCTTGCACCCTCAATTTTCACAGCCCCACAAATACACATACGTATTTATGCACGCATTTACGTCCACGAATTAATACATCATTCGTGTCAAGAGCAGTACGCGTGAAAAACGTGTCTAAAAAGTGGGACGTGAACGAATACTCGACGCCTCAAAAGGGTGGCACCCTCGTGTGAATAGACGTCTTGAGGTGACGTTTTCACGCCGAGACGAATCATCCCTCTTTTTCATACGTGCCGTATTTACAAATCGTCCGTGTGTATTTGCAGAATTTTACCGCAGCTACCTCAAAGCGAAGTTTCTCTTTGACCTCTCTTCGTTTTACCTGCCGTTGGAGACGTTTCCGCGTTGCTCCCTTGAAATTCCAGCGTTTTCCATCCGGCGGGATAGCCTGCGAGTCAAAGTACACGGAAATAGAGTGCAATTCGTGATACCGAACTTTGATTAATCTCGCGCGTGCTTCTGTTTCAAGGTAACGAGGACTGTCCGCGACGAATCAGCCGCTTCCGGTACCATAATGGCGGCGCGTACCGCTTCTGTAAGCCTCTGGAGTTCGAATTCCAGGCGTGTAGGAAGGATGCACGTAACGATTGTACTGTCCATCGAAGTAGTTTCTCTCTTTCGAGGGATTCGTCGACTGATAATGCACGCAAGACATCCTTCAAACCTCCAATTTCGCCTCTTCTCTCGTCGATAATTCTAGGAACGTGGATCTCGACGATCCAAGCTAAGTGCACCACGTAGAAATTCCTCCGAAGCTTCGAGCTTTCACGCAACACCGTGAGTGACCTTTGAAAAAACTTGAACTTTTAAAGGTTTCGCGAGCGACAGCCACGATTCTATTACACTGAAATTTTCTCTGATTACCTCGATCGAACGTCGTTTGTTTCACGCTGATACGCGCTACTTCGTGCACTTTGTCGGTCAGTCATCATTTTTTCTAACATGCCGAAGCTGGAACGACACATCACTTACGTGCTTCTACGTAGGTGGGTATGCAGGAAGGATTACCTTAACGTATATCGAGAACTCTGCGTAATTCCACGTAGCTACTGGAACACTATCCTGAGATTACCACGAACTCTCGTACGTGTATCAAACTCCTGTTCGAACCAGGAACCAGTGAGCGTGGAAAATCCAAAGGTAATGGAATCTGGTCTCCGATACTCTAAAAGCTAAAAGCTAATTCCGCAGATAACTGGGAACCGGGAATGGTTTACGCATGCTTCAAATATTGCCGTTTCAACACTTCTCAAAGGAAACGTAAATCGGACCAAAGGGAGAGTCCGTGTTTTAATCGCTTCACAACCGACTTCCGAGCTTCGATTCTGTTTTCTCAACGAAACGGCGTACGTCGAGGGCTTTCTACTCGGCGGAACTGGACGAGTAAGTCCCTCGAACGTTCGCCGTGAAACGCGCAAAACATCCTCTGTTATCGCTCACGAAATCAGATTAGAATTAATTCGAGTTTCGTGGGCGCGGAAGGAAGGGCCGGTCTCGCCAGTCGAGACGGGAGAGTAAATAGACGACAATGAAAGAGGGGAGAAAGATCGTTTCATCACGGACTTATCACGGCGCCGCCGCGCCGCTGAATTTTACAGCCGGTACAGAGCGTAGGCCGTAAAAGGAAATGGGAGGAACGCGAAGAAATTTTATTTGGTTCGGTAGCGCGTTCCTTACGCGTGATTTGTCCGCGCAGTTTCGCTGTTACGCGGTGGGGAAGGAAGAAGGAACCTCGTAAAGAGTTTACGAGCTCGAGTCGCGGCCGAAATTATCACGAGAAAACGCCGAGAGAAATTTTCGCCGCGAATTAGCACGCGATCGCGGCTGCTTAATTGCACGAACCACGTAAGAGGTAATATCCCGCAATTAAGCGCTCCTTAAGGCAACCGAACAAGATAGTTAAGCGTCTCGTGCAATCAAATGTGAGAGGTAATCTTGCTCGAGCTTGGGTACGACTGATTCAAGCACACCGTTCGTAGTAACGTTACGCGAGCTTTACGAGAATTTCAGGGGGTTTCTAGTTATCGCGGTGGGAATTTCGGTGATATTCGAGATATTCTGTTTTCTTTTTGTTTACGATAATTAAGGCAATTGTTAAGTGTACGAAACTATTTTTTATAATGACAGTTTATCTCGTGAAACTCGGGCAGACCGTCAAATATCTAACTGTTTAACTCAGGAGAGACTTAGGAAGAAAATTAGAAAGGGACGAAATATTGTTATCGTAACTATTAAAAAGGTATAGTTGGGGCCATGATATAGCGAGGTCGTAAATTAAACTCTCAAGAATCGGCATCGATTGATGTTGCGGCACTCAAGGCTGTGTGTTGCACACTGTTTGAGGGTTCCAACAATAAACGAATGGTAGCATATGATTTGGTACTTCAAGTAGAAAATGGTATTTCATTTACAAATGGAAAATATGTTAATATTAAAGCTACACAATCCTTTTGCATTTTCTATCTGTATATAACACGAGCAGGTAAATGAAGATGTTAAAGACCTCAATAAGACCTTTACTTGTAACCGTACTTCCAAAAGCGGCTTCCCCCAGAGGGAGAAACCCTAATTTGTCCTAGCTGCATGCAGTTTTCAGTAAATATATTAGAATCAGTTTGACTTTCGCTGGATACAAGAATTCTTTGTACGGTCCAAAATCTAAATTTTGTTTACTGTATTGGAAACGGGTTACGAAAAGAAATAGTCTTTTAACTTTGTAATATGCTATTTATTGACGGACTCGGAGGAAACGTCTTTACGCTATTGAATCTTCTAAAGGACTGTTTCTGGGCACCCAAAAAGAAAGTTGGGGTCCCCTTATACCTAGGAACTGTTTACTTTACGGTATCTCATTGTGCAGTGCGTGACTCGAAGACGGACACCAGACACATCTGGTGGAAGTTTAGTGCCTTTGTTTAAAATAACGCGGTGACATTTTGTCCTCACTTGATTATTTCCATAGGGTGTTGTTAGAAATAATCCAACATACTGTAATTCGAAATTTTATTAGACTGTCAAAGGGTTAGTGCTGCGTCTGGAGATAAAGATAGCGAGTTTAAGATTTCAGCTCAGAATCTCATCCAAAGGAGAAAATGAAAAAGATTTGTACCGAGTATCGCTATCGGTAGAATTAGCTATGAATTAGCCGCGTAGGAGCTTAATCTTCCCCAAAGGTAGACTATCTCTAAGACAAAAGGGTTAAGGATTAAAGAGAAGGAAAGATTCAATTCAGTTGCAAATGACACACTTTTCGCATCATGGACGAGTTTATTCGATAGTATGTACAAATTGTTCACCAGTGAAAATACGAATATCGTAACAGGACGTAGGGACACGTTATCCTTTCTTTTTTAAACAGAGTACAATAAATAATGGATAGACGAGTTACAAACAATAGCTTCATCTACTGTTACCTAGAACGATTACACGATTTTCAGCGAATCTCTCGTAGCGTTTATGTCGTACAGGTCTCAGTTTCACGTTTAACCCCTTCGCTGCGGCAGGCTTTAATACGTAACGCGCGTGGACAGACATCCGCAAAATTTTTCGTTTCAACGTTTCAAAATTTAAAAGCAAATGGAAAAATTTATAATTTCGTTAAATTCAGGTGGAAGTGCACAAAGGTAAAAAATGAAGGATTAAATTACCAAGCGAAACTGTGCTAAAATTCGAAAAATTTGTCAACGGCAGTGAAAGGGTTAACACGAATCCACAATCTCTACAATATACACTTCCGTTTTAAACGGTGATGAAGAGTTGCAAACTCGATCAGTGGCCGATCGAACCGTTCAATCTCTCGATCCCTCGTTCTTCCTCCTCGCTTTCTTGCCCCACGTTCTAGATTGGCAAACGAAACTCACCCTCTCGTTATCGAACCGTCCAACAGAAACTGTCCGAGACGGAGAGAAAGGCTGACAATCACTCGAAGGTACAAAGACGATCTGATTTGCTGTACAAGTTCATCGTTCGCGGTGAACGAGTGATCGATCCTCCACACGAGAAATTCTAGCATCAGCATCGATTTATCGCACCCGTGGACCGCATGGGAAAATTGCACGCCTCGGGGCTCAGTGTTTTCGCGACGATCGCGAACGGATGGAATACATGAATATATTACACATTTATGGTTTGCGTGTATGTCAGTGTGCGTGTGTGTGTATATACACGAAGCTGCTGTTAATTCGGTATGTATAGCTATATACACGTATACTTTGAGCGTATCATTTTCCACACAGGCTGATCGATTGCCAGGCTAATGTTCCTTTCATCCTTGCCGCAACATTTAGTACGGCCTCGATCCAATGGAATTTAGTTTAACGCTCCTACCGATTGAACGGAATATCATTGTTTCGTTGGTCGTTACGAATACCCGCGATGGAATATGCACAGTTTGTAAATTTTTGCTCCGGTGGAAATAGGTATCGCGTTTCAATTAGGAGGTAAAGATATCATTTTGTTTCTTTATCGTTTCTCCTTTTTTTTCTCTTTACACACGATCATGCCTGAAATACTGATCACGTAAATGCGGGAATAAAAAACCTACTATTTTACTCGCACCGCAGTGCGATCTCCTAAGTTATATGCTTCTAATATTTATTACGTCGTTTTGTACTGTGTTTCTCTCTCTCTCTCTCTCTTAGTTTCCGATACTTGAAAGGAAGAAACGGTGAAACTAACCGTGACATCTCCGAGACGTAGAGTATTCTATGGAAGAGAGACGAAATATCGAACATAATTTCGCTGATTCGTAATACTTCTCTCGATGAGAGATCCTTCGGTGGAAGCTCCGGAATAGAGCCGGTTCGGGGCAGAAGAAAAGTCTACGTTGATTTTAAGATGTATTCTAACTTTCTCGATGCAGTCCTTTCCTCACACCAGCGACACCATCACTCGTTTTCTCGTCGTCGTGTGCAACATCGCTAGGTGACCGCTTCTTCGCGAGGACTGCGCCGTCAGAGACGTGGTCACTGTCGTCCTGGTGATGCTGTTTGGGCCACCGGTGCCGAAACAGTGGTGAGGATTCGACGTGCACCAGCTGGAAACCCAGGAGATCGTGTGCATGTTCCTGTCGAAACGAAGTAACCGCAGTTTGTATTTGGAAATATTGTAATTTTCAAATATCAGCCTGAAATTGAGCAGAGAAGTTTCAGACAGACCGCTTCGATTCCTTTGAAAACGTCGAAAGTTACTCGGCTTGTTAAAGACAGAGAGTTCTCTTTCTTGCCAGCTAACTTCTCTCGAACGAAAATTCTTCAACTTACCTGAATTCTGAAATAGTATCCCACTTCGTAACTTTCATCATTTCGTTACTTAACCCTTTCGCGACGGCGGAACCAGCCATCGGTACGCCACTAACGAACGGGTCGTCATGCTATCAGTGCACACCATGCACATTAAGAGTGTCTCGTGTTTTTTCAAATCTTAGAGGATTTAGTTGGAACAGCAAAGGACTTAAGGGTGTATCGGATAAAGGGAATGTTGTTGAGGCCTTGTTCTGTATTTTGAAATAAATCTTCGCTTTGAGTTGTCGAGGCGCGAGCCAATGCGACGCGCTTAGTAGATGCCGGATATAACCGGCGCTAGCCAGTATGAAGCATTTAGTGGATGCCGGATATAACCGGCGCTAGTCGCGAAAGGGTTAAACTAGCAGCGAGGCGATGGAAATTCGACGCGTGTTCAAATTTCGTGGATTATTCGGCAAGAAAATTGTTCAAAATCCTCCCGCTCCTTCAAATTAGATTGTATCAACTTGCGTTCGGGTAATTAAATTGTAATTACCAATTTTATCAAATTCTCAGTTTCATTTCACGGTAAATCGAGGTGTTTCATATTTTTGAGAAATAAAAAGGAGCAGTGAAAAATATTGAAAATAAATACGCGCGTTGGCCCAATATTTGAGGGAGATTTTCGCGCTTTCAGCGTCGACCAACGTCGATAAAAAAAAATACGCGTCGAATATTATTTTTTATTACACCGTACGCCAAAATTTCATCGAGATCGGTGATTATCGTTCCGTCGTCGTCCACCGTGAATTCATTTTCGGATATTAAAAACGATCGTTGTCGCTTGATTGAAAGGGGCAGCTATTACGGTTTTTACACTCACCGTACAGTTTTGCAAAACGAAGTGCTGAAGAGACAGTATATGATGGGATTGGCAGCTGAATTGAGAGGTGCTAAGCTCTGAATCAACGTGCCCACGGCTGCGTTTGTCTGAGATTTCCGTACGTATCCGTAGACTTGTAGCAGACTGAACACTACGTACGGGCTCCAACATAGAATAAATACTGAAACATTGAAAAAGAGCGAGGATTTTTTATCGCGAGACAATCATATCAAATAATTCACACTACTCAGAAATTTGCATAATATTCGCTTGTTTCTAAGCGAAATTTAAACTGTCGTATCTAGGTTTCTAATTGACGTAGCGATGAAAGTATTTTGCTCGACAGTTGAAGGTGAATCCAGCGCACTACTCAAATAATTCGTGATGTGAACGAGGGTGGATATAAATGGAATTATGCTGTTTGCAGTGGAGTTAGGGGTACGTTTGATTTATCTTCAAATAACGAGTAAAACACCTTTCTGATTTTTCTCGCTATCTCGATTAGAAGCAGAGATGCGTTAATTTCAATTTTTCTTACATTTCGCTGTGAACTTTGTTTGAACCTAAGTGCTTTGAACCTAACGAAATCCAAAGGCTTGTCGCGTTTCTATCTTCCAAATACAAGCCAGAAGATCTTTATTCCTCTGACTTTATCTCGAACGATGACAAGTCTCGTTCTCGAAGCAACGAAGAAAAAGTGTGAACGATTGTTAGAAAATACCACGAAAATGAGAATCTATCGTAGGTGGTAGATAAGAACGTGTAAATTAATTTACCCCTTAACCATGGAAACTCCCTTAACGATACGAACATTCGAGCTCGGTAACCGTGTAAAAGTAAATTACGTGGAAATTCACGCTGAAGTAATCTCCTAAGAATTGTACGTTTCTTTAGAATCCTAAAGCAATAGGAGAATAGAGGGAAGCAGAGACGAGGTGTATTCCTGAGAGAAATGCAGATGCATCTTGACGAAAACTGAGGAAAATTGCGCGGCGTTATTTCACTCTTGAGCAAACAGCGATATTACGAAGCGAACGATTAAGCGGGAGGATGAGAGCTTATCTTGGGTTATCCGGTGCAAGGTGAAGGAAAATAATCGGAAGTAGTGACGGATGAGGACAGGAAGCAAGCATCTAATCTTTTTCGAAAGTTTCGTAAGAATCGACGTCCTTTGTTCGACAGCCTGAAAATCTCACGATTCTTTCGTTTGTGAAACGTGTCGAACGTTTCGAGGAATCGCTTTAACGTCTAGAGAGCTCGGGAAGTTGAGAAGAGTTTCCTTTCGTTAAATTTTCATTGCGTCAAAGTGGCGAATTTTGATCGAATTGGAACGGGGAAGGGTTTTATAATTGATCAAGATCCGGATGAATTAAACGGAGCTCTTTAACGACAGCTTGTCCGAGGTGTGAGCAACAGACCGCTAATGGCTAAAAGCCTCGAGAGATTTAAATGAAGGAGCGCGTTGTAATGAACGAACGCGTGTGTTGTTTTTTCTGGGGAAGTGATTGACATCGAACTTGCACTCGTTGCGGTTATTTTCGGCGATGAGGCCGTTGCGTCGCAATGTTGCAAAGAAATTGAACGAAAAAATGCTTTCGTACTCTTCAAGCTTAACCCGTTTGCATCGTTCGAAAAAAGTGACAAATAGGAGATTTACACGAAATTTGAGTAGTCTGCGATTATTCGCTCTATGCTTCCGTGATAGTGACCAGGAAAATTACGCTAATGATGCGAATGGGTTAATATAACAGAGCCCTTGTGAAAAGTTTTCCATCGAGTCGATTATATTCCTAAAAAAAAATGCCAAAGTTAGGTATCATCTTCAGGTCTCAGAGCTGATCTAACCCTTCAAGAGCGATCGTAAGAAATTAGATAAAAATGATACGAAAAATGGTAAATTGCGATAGCAGTGTGATTGTGAACGACTTGTTCATTTAGAGGACATCGATCGAACAGGAAAAATGACACGGTAGGTGTGCCCATTTTAATAGTTTTCTCGGTTTCGAAGTGCACCCAAGGGACCCGTTCGGATGGAGCTAGATCTCCTTTGATCCGTCCTGTTCGAAACGATCCACCGTCAGCTGAAAAAGAAGAAGTTTCTGCGGAGAGACATCGTCGAGAAGCAAATCTGATTAGACCGAGCAATTCCTGGCACACGTAAACTCGTTCCCTCGAGGAATAAAAGGAAGACGATGGTGCTTTGAGCGAGGCAAGGACTCGAAACTTCTACTTATATAGCAGTGTTTGACAAATACAAGCCGCGTTCCCGTCTACCTTAATGTCCTCAGGTTAGTTACTGGGCAAGTAATACCGTTCGATCCTAGGACCTTGTTTGCTCATATTGAACGTTGCATCCTTTGGATTTTGCCAGAAAACCACGGAGAAATTTTCGTTCTCTTCTTTTTCGTGGTTCATTTAGACCAACGGCGACTATCGTGGACCCTTGTATTTCTCGGAGACTAGTCTAAATAGAAAGGAGCAGTGCGTAACAGGAGAAAAAAAGCACGGTTGCAATCACGAAAGAAAATTCAATCTTCTCGAAGGAGGAGAATCCTTTTCTCCAGACTCACTGGGTACAATTTTTCTCGTACGTATCTCCTCCTGGTGATTCGTAAGGGAAAAGAGAGAGAGAGAGAGAGAGGTTGAAGACCATTCTCGCTTATCTCCTTGCCGCGTACTTTTTTTTACGCGGTGCAAATATAATCGCGCGCGAGAGAGAGAGAAGAGGGACGAAAAGGGGGCTGTTAAGTTTTATTGTCGTCGAGAAACGCAGTTTCAATCGTTGGAGAAGTTCCCCCGATTCGAAAACTTCTGCCACGTATGTTCGTTAAATTTTTATACCAACGTACATCGCGCGATTTACGCGGCCAACGGGTTTCGCCGGTATCGAAAACTTGTAAAATTATTTATCGAGTTTTACGACGTACGAAACTTCGATAACGATATCGTTCAACTGGATCAATTATACTCTAACGCGAATTACATTCTAACGTAACACGCGTGTATATACCGCGAAGTAGATACTAAAGAAGTTTCGTCCTAAGAACTTCTTGCGTTTATAGTTCTTCACGCGACATAAATCCCCGGCTCTAACTTCTCTACGTAGTTTTGTGATGCAAATGCGGTTCGGTGACGTTTCGTCTCGGTTTCCGTGGTCTCGCTTACGCAAATCCTGTCGGAAACGGTGCACACGTGTAGTTTACTCACCGAATACTATGACGAGGGTCATTTTGACCGTCTTAACTTTGGCTCGAGGAATAAGTCCTCTGGACGAGGCTCTCCTGATGTCCCTACCAGGTCCCTGGCGTAATGCTCCTCCTTGCGACCATATAGTAGCTACGATCACAGCATAGCAGCCTCCTATTATCAGAGTAGGGGCTATAAAGAGGGCAAAGCTGACCAGGCTCATGTAGATCTTCCACTGCGTCTCAGACAGTTCCATCCAGCATTGTGCCCTCCCCTGGTAAACAAACCTGCCGATTATACTTGTAGTGCAACCGATTTACTAAATGTAGGCCAACGGTGTTCGTTTTAGAAAACGGTTCGTTGGATCGTCAATTAAACGACACGGAAGATAGTGTTCGAGCTTGGAAGCTGATATTAAAAATGAACGACTCTATCCTTTATGCGGGACGTTAGCTAATATGGAGGTTGAAAATTTCGTTCGAAGGCGTTACGCTTAGTCTTGTATTTTTGAAAATTCGTGAAATTGGTAAATTTCCGAGACTGTGTTTCGCCTCTTGATCAAAATTCCAACTTCTTTTTCATGTATAAATTTCAGTTTTCTCTTTTACAATGTGTTTCGTATTCGGTGCATAATAAAGAGGAACCCTGATAAAATCGGCGACATGCATGCGAAGAAGAGGCGTGGACGATTTTCGGTTTAATTAGCAAAGTGGCTTGGAACGATCGAAATCTTCAGGCTCGAGCATGCTTGGAAATTCTCTCCGTCCCGGCGACTCTGTGTGTGTGTGTGTATGTACATGACGAATTACTCGATACCTCTATTTGTTTCTCTTCGAAAAGGAAAATGCCTGGAACGCTGAACAGTGCTGATAGGCCCCAGGCAGCTACGACAAGGGCCCTGGCTCGCCACCCTGCGATTAAAGTTGAATTTCCAGTCATAAGTTTGGGGATCGCTCGCGAGCAACTATTTCGCCCGAGGCAACTTTCGTGGAAAGGTTCGAGTGTCACGGTGGTTTAAGGTAAATGAACAGACAGGGATCTGTGACTTTCTTCCGCTAAGTTTCCTCGTTTCCGTGCTCGCGAAACTTCCGCTCTAGCAGCTGCTGAGTTAACGGCGGGAAGAAAGCACGGGGAAAGGATGAAACTGAACGCGTTCGATGTAATAAAGAAACTTTTTCCAGACTGTACGTACGTCACTCTCGTCTAACGACGCACCGTTCGTTATTTCCACCGTGAACGAGACCGAAAAGCTTGGAGCAACATATTGTCAAACGTTGAAAGTAGATTTCGGAATACGAGGACACTTTGTCACAATTTGGATTTAAATTTCTACGGAATAATTAGGTGTCGCATGACCTGGTACACTTAGCAAGCGGGACCGTTTGACGACGAGCAATTTAATTACGGCGACGGTGCCTTTGAGCTGCAATTAAGTGCATCTCGCAGGGAAATGGATTATTTCTAAATTTCGAGTCATTCTAATTTCACTTCGCGGATTATTTACAGGACCGGCGGCAAAGTGGAACTATTCATCGGGAAGTGGCCGCTAATGCTTCTAACTGCTACTTTCCAGCTTTAAGTACAGTTCGATGGAGTAAAATGGAAAATAAAAGTACAGCGATCGTCGATTCACTGGAGAAACCGTGTGTGCAAGAGGATGCTGAATTATTCCGAATTGCCGTTTCCATGTTTGCCTCGAAGTATCAAACGGTTGGAGACACTCTTCGATTTCACGCGAAAATTTAACAACGCGATATAATAACTGATTATAAGTGTTGAAGACAAAAATGGAGAGAGACAGCGAACGACTCGGTGTTCGGTTTTCGGTGATGAAACCACAGGGAATATAGCTGGCGCATTGAAGCGGTAATATGCGGTAACGTTTTCCCAATAACGAGTGGGAAATCACGAGACAACGTCGCGTCGTGCTATGAATTTATAGTTCCGTGAATCAGAGACATAACGACGCTGGTGTTATTATAAAGTTGGACGAAACGGCCGGGTACGAAGTCTCGAATCGCGTAATTTGTCGACGATAGAAAAATGATAGAAAATATAATAGATACTTACACCTGCTAGTGAAATTCATCGGTCTCGTGATGGCGTCGTATCTGTCAATGGACAAAGCGACGAGTACGTACGTCGAGCTGTACATGACGAGGAACTGCATGAATCTTATCAGCTTACAGGCGACATTACCCGCGTGCCAGGTCACCGTTATTTTCCAAATTATATCCGTCAGCACGATTATCAGGCCGACCAATAAATCTGCAACAAGATATGCAACGCAGCGAGATGATTCATCGCGACGCGACGCTATTATTGTAACACACCATCCCGAACGGCGTCGGGCATTTAATTCGCGAACGAATGAACGCGGGCACAGCCTAAAGCGGCGCGTTTCATTAACGATCGATCGGTCTATCGATCTACCGTCGTTGTTCCAGTCTCGTTCGATTTGCAGGAAGAAAGGAGGCGATCGAACGCGTAATAACTGGAGTGGGAAAAAAGTGCAATTATTGCTGGTGCAGTTTCGATGAAAACAAAAAAAAAGCAATATCGCTAGTATTCCACATGAGAATCGAACTAGATTGCGCGTTTGATCGAACCAGATTTCCTGGAAAATTGTTCACATATCGTAGCAAAAAAAAAAACCTGCACAATTTTGTTTCGGGAAAATAGACAATTTTTGACACCTAGAAATTTCCACGTTTAATTGCAACAAATCAGATTTACGCGCTGTCGTGCAAATCAGCAGCAAGTGATAACGCATATTTCACAAGCACCTCGTGATAGTCCACGCGACGAGAGCCGAGCGATGAAGTAGCGGTTTAAAGGATATCGTATCGAGTGTCGCGAGTCTAGAAGTGTCATTTGGTTAGCCGTAAAAAAGACCCTCGAAAGTGAGATTTCACCCTACAGATTCCCCATGCGAAACGACCACGTCCCACCTCGTATATTTCTCCCGATATTGAAACTCGATTTGGATTTATCATCTCGTAATAAAGTGGATTATTCCGCCGGACCTCGATGAAAGAATTAGCGAGAAGCTCTTGCCGCGGTCGGTCGGTTCTCCTCGATCAATTTCACGTAACTACCGAGTTTTGTCTCACTTCAAATCCAATCGAAATTTTACGTCCTTTCACGTCGTTATATCTCGAAGAATTTATCGTCCGAAATATCGCACGAAAAATCTGAATTTTACGGCTTGTCCCCGCGATTGCTCGCGTTTTCTTTCACGGCGGATCCGTGGGGCACAGTTATACGCTCGTAAACGAGCGCGGTTCGCTTCAGATTTCGTCGACGTTGTACTGATACCAGTGGCATCAGCTGCTTAATTGCGGCTCCTCTTGTCACACCGTGTTCGCATTCGAATACCTCGTCCAACTTTACGAACCGTTCGCCAAAAGTTCCTCTTTTCACTCCACGATCTTTCTGTCGGCATTGTTTGTCGCCTTGATCTCTCCCTCCGAAGACTCGCCTCTACAGCTTTCTCACGTGTTGTTATACTCGTATAATTCGCCGATAATCTTTTACGCCTGTGGACGAGCGCACTCCTTAATCTGCGGTCTGCTCCAAGTGCTACGTAAGTTTATTACGCCACTTCTTTCACCGTCGCCGTTCCACGTTTCCTCGCCTTATTCTTTCGCCACTTCTTTCCGCCTTCTCTTCCTCTAAGGGCCCGACGATAAAGCGATTCCCCGTGAAATAGACGTCCGAGAACGGCGGTAGAAGGTAAAATACAAACGATTTCACTCTCGTTCCTCTCCGCCTCTTTCTTCCTTTCTTTCCCTCTCTCCGCAGAGGTGTGTTTGCGCATCGTTCGATTGCTTTTACGAGACCGGAACGGGGCCATTGTCGTCGAATGGACAAGTGGCTTTTTACGTTGCTACGTTTACACGGGCGAAAAATGTCGCAGACGCGGCATTCTCCGGCGCGTACCAACACCTTTTACAAGCCTCGCCACCGGAAATCAATACGACGGCCCCGTGGCGAACGAGAGATCGCGTCGAATCGGAATACAGAAAGTGCTCGTAGACCGTTTTCGATTCGTTCCGTTGAGTTTTACTCCGGGTCTGAGCGCTTGCATTGTTGTCGGTATAAAAGGGACAGGAAGATCGATCGAAAGGATAGCGGGTATAAAGAGGTGACGTTATAACAAGGTGTATGACGCCTCCAGACGAAAGAGCGAAGAGAAATGTGAAGAAGAATTTGAATCGAGATGAATATTCACGACTATTTTTACTGTTTTAATATCGTAGCTATTAGGTAAAAAAAGCTGAATCTTTATAGATCATCTTTGGTTTTGTAAATTAAAACAAAAGTTAATTTTATTAATTTCCGTGCCAAAGGAGCGGTGTTAATTTACAAGATTAATCAAGGTAGAAAAGAGCATACAAGTAATGAAATTTCGTCACACTGTTGGAACCTCTTCCATTAAACGGTAACCGTAAAATTCTAGGGTTATAGGTTTGTTTTCGGAGGGACGAACTTCCTAATTTCTCGAGAAGGTGCGATCAACTGAAATCCCCCGAGGATCTAAACGTTTGTTCTTAATGCACGGCGAAAAAATAGAAGCAGGACTTGAGCCGGGATTTCTTGCTTGTTGGCCGACTACTTTCACCAATTACGTTGTCCAGAGACCGTCGACGAATTTTTTTTCTTCTCCCTAAGCCTAATATTCGGGATTGCCCGTCGTTTATACCGATGCTCTCTCGTAGCCAATTCCTTTTTCTCTCCAACAAGAATCCAATCCGTTTAGTTACGATTATTACTTCGACACCGATGTACGTCACCTGACAAGATCCTTTATTTTGTTACGTCGTTGTAAATAGCAATTCGACAATAAAATACGACACAACCGTTCTCAGACACTCTGTTCAACTTTCACAACGATTAAAAGCCGCGGGGACGTTAAACGTCACTCTGTAATTGGAGCATAATTCCTCCGGTATCTCTCTGGCAAGCTCGTTCCACGAAAGTCGCGGAGAAGTGAGCAGCATCGAAATATTGTGCAATTTGCGTAAGCGTTCGCGAGAAACGCGGCATTTAATCTGGTGGTCGCAGGAGGGAATCCGGCACAATGGTGGTCGTGGAGGCGCTCCGAGCAGAAGTAACAGACACGGGCCACCTTGAAGTTACGACCGCCTCTTCGTCTTTGCCTTTACTTACCGGCGCTCAGCTTTTCACCGCGCACAATGGATGCGTTTCGAGCGGATGCCGCGAGAAACATAATACCGGAGAAGAAGAAGAAGGTGAAGAAAAAAAGGAAGAAGCTGAAGAGATTGAAACGGAACTGTTGTACCGTGCGTGTATACGTGGTTTCGTGACTCAACCAACCGGTCAAACTTTCTTCCATTAACATTGCCCCATCGACGTTGAAGATCGTGTCCAAGTTAGACAAGCGAGACGAGATTGCGTGTACATCTTCGTACAGCTTCGATATCTTGATCTTTATTCGAGGAATGTTTTCTGGGGCTCTGTTGTTGGAGCAAATGGGGAAACTGTCATGCAAGTGTTTCCACGAGAAAGTTTCGACGGGACAAAAATACCTTGCCCGCTTTTACGACGCGCTTTGAGAATGTCGCTTTTGTCTCCCGGATTCGGCCCCGGGTCGTATAAGTGACGCGCGGATGGATCAGGAATAAAAATCGTGCCCGATCAAACGCGGAGAGAAAGAAGCGCAATCAGAGCGGTAACACGTATCACCCGGTTTGAACTTTTGGCTTTCGCCTCGTCGCGTGAACTATTGCGCGGCTCGAATCACGTTCTCCTGTTCGGCAATCAATTCTTTTTTCAAAGCAATCACACCGGGTGTTTAAGGTGACAGAATATTCGAAGGTACAGTCGGTGGAAGAAATGTAGCGAGTCGACGTTTGTGCGTTTGAACAGGTCGACTGAGAAGATGACTACTTGGAATTTCGGTCAATTTTTCAGTTAGCTTTGATTCAATCTTAATTGAAAAACGAAGTAGACAGAACTTGAAACGACAGAAACTTGAGAAAATGGGTAACTTGAAATTTTAATCAATTTTTCACTCAGCTTTTATTCCGTCATAATTGAAATACGGAAAACGGCGCAATCAACCCTGAGTACTGCATCAATCTCTGCCGCTACTTAGCGCTTTAATTTACGACCTCGCTGTATTTCTTCCGCTATAAAAAGAAAACGTAACAACAAGAAACTTCTCGAGAAACTTTGAAAAGGGAACTTACCAGCGAACGCCAATTGTTTGATGAAAAAGTCCATCCGCGTCTTCCGCCGTTTTCCCCATAAGAGGCCAATCAGCACCGCGATATTACCCACGACGATCATCCCGAACAGCAGCCATAAAACGGTGAACTGTGCGGTCTGTAACAGAAAAGAAGGCGAACAGCTGTGACGAAATTCCGCAGAAGACCAGAGATATACAGTCGACTTCGAGAAACGTTCGATCCCTTTTTCCTCGGGACGTTTGTTTTATTTTCATCCATCCGTTCAACCGGAAACACGATCTTCCTGGTAACTGATTTGTTTGCGTGGGCTGGTGCGACAAAAGCGTTTTAAACCGAGAATTTCTTTATACCACGTTCGTGCAGCCTCCCACGGTAAATCAACGCCTGTCACCGTCCGTGCACGGGTATTTATTAGCGCGATAATTACGAGCAAGAGGAGTGTTTCGAGCGCTTTGCAACGTCGAGGAGGACGGATCCTACGGTGGCTGCGATTAGTGCTCGTTAAGAGTTCTCCTCTCCGTTACCGCGGAAGAGAGATCTGTAAGAGAGACCGATGCTACGAGAAATATCCTCCGTGACAGGATTATTAAATGGGCAAACGAGCAATTTGCAACGAGCTATCTGGGACGGGGCAAAAAACAATGCGAATTCGAGCAGGGATTTAACGACCCGCGTTGTGGTCCAGATGTTGCACTGACAGGAAAGCTGAAGACTTCTGTTAACGTTCAAAGGATACAATGTACGTATACGAAGCAATTTCAACGTCTAATTACCTGCTTTGAGGGGGAAAGGTAAAAGCTTTCGCTGACGTCGTTCTGTATTTAAACATTTTATGGATTGGTTGGTGGGAGTTTGGAAAGGGGATAGGTGAATCTAAAAGGTACTGAATAAAGTGGATACCCGCAGTGTTTATAAAGTACCGATAAGGAATCTCTACTATAAAGTAATTGTTTAAACGAAGCTTAGGGAACAATTCACGAGAGGATAAATATGGCGTAATGTTATTCACATTTTCCCTGGAAATGTTTAGTACCATAGTTACGCGCGCTTCGTAATTACCATTTCAAGCTCTTCGAGCTGCTCTCTCTCTGGAAGAGGATTCCCATCGTTAGCGTCGAAAAGTTGAAAGTTGTGTGGAAGAGAGAACGAGCTAGGATTTATTCTCTTCTACGGTACAATCAGGGCTAAGAGTCCTTCGAAATCCGGTCGTCTTTTTATTACACATGTCTGTTGGAATATCAGAGAAAAATTTCCCGACCTGTTTTATCGCAAACTTGGAAAGACGGTACCGTTACGTAAATCGCGGAGTACGTCAGCCGCAAAATAGAGGAAAGTTGGTTCGAAAAAAGAGGACATACTTCTTCCTTTGTTTCGATGACACGTCGGTCATTTATGGAAAATCAATGGCCGATATCGATCCGCAGCCTCACCAGCGACTACTTGTCCTGTCTGCCTTTCTCTCCGTATTCAATGGCAGATTATTAGTTTCCATTTCGCAGCACGCCCATGCTGGAGTCCCATTGCAAGTAGTGGGTGGATCGTTAAGACAGAAATTTATGGTTGCAGATTCCATAGGGAACCACCTGCGAGCTGGCTGGTGCACTCGCTTATGCTCGGCGTCGCGCCACTTGCAACGTGGCTCTGTTGCACACGATAAACCGGAGGATCTTTGCAACGTGTGTATTATCTCGGCGATTATCCTGCGCGAGTTAAATCGAGGCACTCTCGCGGGAACTGAAACTAAAGTAATTCCTTGAAAACGCACGGATAGTTCGTGTTTCGGGGTCCGCCTAATGGCTTTGTAATTGGGCCAATTACACGCGCGTGTACAATCGTGTGTAATTACTAAATCTGCGCGTCCACGAGCGGGCTGGATCAAGTGTGTAGATTTTTCCGTATGGTGACTCGCGCGAATCGATTATCCACGGTAGAATTGGCAAAGCTGATTAACAGGATACCGTTACTTCGTTAATCCCACACGCTCTGTTTCAACGATGAATCGTAAATCAGCTTCAATTGAAATTCGACTCGCGTTCGTTGCACGTGTCGATACGGCGATGCCTAATTAACTAAGCAAACTTTCGCCTGTGTGTCTGTTCAAGTTGTGTCCGTCCTGAACGTAAGTAAGTACTTAAACCTACCGGTAGACCGAGTCGATTGAAAGTTTGCGTGACTCTTTGGTATGCGCTTCTCCACACGGCTGCCTCGTAGTTTCGTACTCGATTATCGGTTGGAAGTTGCTGTGAATTTTCTTGGTAAACGAGCAAGCAATAATCTTGCAGTAGCTTGGTAATGGAAATCAATTTGGATAACTGGAAAATAACGATTCTCGTTCGATGAATCCTGCAGAGCACATATGGGCAACCCCCGGCCCTAATTTATTTCAGCGAAGTTTGTCTTCAAATTGTTACGTCGTTCGTTATGTTAGAAAATTTAAGTAGAGCTTCATACCAAAGCATTATATTATAAATAAACGAAATATGAACATTTAATATTCATTTATTTTATTCGATAATTTGGACCGGCCCTTGACTCGGAGACAGAATGATAATTTGGCCCCCGAATTAGGAAAGGGTGCCCGTGCCTGGTGTAGAGCTTGCCCTCGGGGCAAACTCGAGCTCCGCACAGTACACTGGGGCGTTTATGAGTTTGGAACAGCCATTATGTTCTTGTCGAAAGTATCGTGTGATTTAAATTAGTTGGTGTCATACTTAAGATTCTGGAATGAATAGCGTAGGAACCTAGGGAAAAATATTGAGGGACCCAACGGGAAGCGAACCTGGGACGACATTCGGCTTACAATTAGCAAGCCGAGACTTTGCGCACTACTCCAACTATACATAGTACATACTCCCTCTCTATTCTCCATTGTCTGTTTCCTATTTGGGTATGGAGGCCCCGATACTACAATAGTACCTTTTTTAGGATTTTAATAATTTTGAAATGAAATTTGTGTGCCGAATAATTTTATATTAAATTTGTGTGTGTGTATGATTCACGTTCGGTAAGTGTCTTACTACTTACGAACGAGACTGTATACCAGATCAAAGGATTTCTGCATTCAACGAGCAAGACGGAGTAGTTCTGATTGCAATTCATTAGTAATGCATATCCATGTAGACGTCAGACTAACGAGACAATCTACATTATACGAGGGAACTGAATTTTAACTTCGTTAACAGAATTGCCTTAGTTTCTTCTCTTTTTTAACACGTGCAGCCAGTGCAAATTTTTATGATTTGCTTTTCAAATATTCCGCAGTTCGGAAATTAATCCAACGTACGTGCGAAATTCATCGGCAGAATAAATATTCGTGTTTCATTGGGGCTAGTTTATCGGTGCATAAATACATCTGATCGTTGAAATTAATTATTCGATATCGTTGTTCGTTGAATCGTCTGGAGGTGTTCAAACCGAGTTCACGAGCGACGCGCTACTTCATCAAAGCTGATTGAATACGGAGAAGCCTATTCTCGGGGCGTGTAATTCGAGCGATGCGATTAAATTGGAAACTCACCGAGCGAAAGTGGACAAACGCTGAAACGTTGATAGATATTCCTTGTATATTTTAGCTGGAAGACAGATAATAGGAAAGCGTCTCGTGTGAAATGGCGGTGTTTTGTGCGTGAGCCAATTGGCTAAGAAAATCGACGCGTGTCGCGTTATCCACGCCTTTCACAGGTGGAGACTCACCTGGCTCGCGTTTACTTTTCACTATGGTCGCCATTTTACTTCCACCAATTCACCGTAATTTTGACTTAAGCTGACCGCGAGATTAAGCTCGGATCCTCTGGTAGTTTCATTGCGTTCGGGAGATGCACGAGGGGAATTTCGAACGAATAAACGGCGGTGATTCTCCAGACTTTAAACGCCAGAATTTGCCACGGGTTCAGTTTAGAGAAATTTCCGGAACAGATCTGTCGAAGGAAGATCCACGGTTAGATAGGCAAAGGGAATTTCGAACGAGTGTACAGAGTAATTCTACAGGTTTCAAATGAAAATCCTTTCGTGAGGTAATGAACTCGTGACGGATTCAGTTTAGAGAAATTTTCGGGACAGATCCGCCGAAGGGAGAGATCCTTCCTGTGGATTTCGAATCGGAGGATTACACGCTCCTGCCCTCGGGCTCTCTGCCCCCGGTATTTCTACCCGAACGGCAAATTGCCCTCCTCCCATTGGCGAGAAAATATCGCCGAATCGACGAAAACCAAGGTCCGCGTTACTGCCACTCTCGCCTTCCTTTTTTTCCTTCTTTTCCTTCCACTCAGCAGCAAATTTATGCTTCCAACTCTACCGTGCGTCTGCCTCCGTCTCTTTCTCTGCTTCCATTCTCCACAACGGAGACAGAGACGAGAGACACGGGACAGTCGAGCTGAATAGCAGAATCTATGGTCGAATCTCTTGATGCGCAACTATTTTTGGACGGACCAGGGTCGTCGAAATTCATATCTTTTTACGAACGAGTTTATATACGTACGCGCAAAAAGTTTGATACAGTTTTCGGTCCACGGGGGAACGAGACATTCTTCCCTTTTACGGCAGAATGCAATACAATACAGTAGCACGGAAACAATAAGGGAGAATTCTGGAATGATTTTCTTCTTTTACGTTCGCCGTTTTCTGCCTTGATTTTTGCATGGAATAGTGCGAATCTTTGAAGCGAAACTTTGACGAACACGTTTGCGTTTCTGTATTATCGATACGAGGATCCTTTGGATCAACGAGTGCCTATTAAATTTAACTGGAATAATTTACAAGATAATCCTAATATATCGGATTATTCTAGAATTATCGAAATTCGAGGGATTCCAGGGTTTAC